ATCACTGAAAGTTTTGTATAAAGTGTCATGGTAAAATTCCATCAGAAGAATCAAGTGGAGGCAGAAATATTAAAACGTCGTGATCAAGATACGTGTTTTTATAATTTCACCGTCCATTGTCGTCTGTTCCAGTTCTGTAGCTTCCACATCTTCACATTCATCAGTGTTCACTGTTCCGTAACTTTCGGCGAAAGAGGACAGTCGAGCTAAATAAAAAGACCTATTTTTGTGAGAGAGTCTTCCGATCGATAGCTGCCTTTTATTGATGAACAAACCAGCAGATCAAAAGATACAAATGAATATATTTGATTAAATAATTGACTCCGACTGCATGAATTGGTTCAAATCGTTTTCATTAATCTCTTGCATGAGCTGCGCCATCCAGTAAGAATTCGGCCAGTTCGAGCAGATTGAACTGCCCTCGGGACTTCCATAAAAGAGATTAAATGGGATCAAAGGATCAAAGGAAATGGAAAACAATCCAATTGCCCCGTTTTATCACAGTTACTCTAATTCTAACTACAAAAATCAAGAAGTCGGCCATTTACGGACATTAAGCAATTTCGACACGAACGTACAGACATGCAAAATCGTGACAAAAATGAATGGAAAAAGTCCTAGGTTTGAAAATAAAAATATCTGTCCACTACCCACATATCGTCACTATCCGGTCAAGGTATCACAAGCGCCATGTGACGTTGAAAAACTTCCGCCACCATTTTATTTTTTTACAGATAAAGTGTTCAGCAAAGTTGTCCGAAAAGTTCACTAAATTTTCTTTGTGCCACCAATATAATTCCCCGAAATTTTTAGACGGATTGAACCAACAACGTTTCTGTAATTAAATAAAATGACGGCGGTTTTGGAACATCGCATGGCGCTTGTGATACTTTGGCCAGAAGGTGACGGTACACTGAAAAAATAGTAAAAGATAGTCATAGATTTTGGACGTTGCAATCGAGGATACATTTTTAAGCCATCGATATTGCAAGCCAATTTTATTTGCCTTCGCCTTTAAATTATTCATTGCGCCCGAATTCGGTAGCTTTCCCATTTCCTCATAGTCCATTTGGTCGACATGAGCCTATCTCAACGCTCCGCGAGCTTCCCGCTGACAAAGACTAAGCCATGAGGAAAATCGCACAGCATCCCCGGGGATTGAGCTCCCTGTCGAGTCGGCTCGACAAGAGAGCGAAAAAGGGATGTTTCCGGTCAGGAGACCGGCATCCCTGTATCCCTTGTCCGAGCGTCTGATCCGCCGACCTCCCGTGACCCAGAACGAATAAAGTTGTCTGTTCGCTGTTGTCTGTTCCCTCCTGCCAACTGTCTCACGTCTGCCAAGGGATTTTCATCCCCCGCCCACTTTCTCTCCTTCTGTCTCCCATCCCGACTCCTTTCTTACGCAAAATCGCCTCTCTGTCCACGGGAGGAACATTCAATTTTTCAGGTCCTATCTCTTCTGAACGTCCTCGGAGGTAGGGGACAATGAATTCGATGAAGATTTATCTCTTTCTTTACGAGGAAAAAAAGTTTGGAGGGATGATTGCCTTGGAATAGCACGGGGGGATTTGCGTGAAAGAATCCGCTTTATTTTTAATTTTTATTTTTTAATTCATGACCTTGACGAGGTAGCACATGAATTCTTAAAATTTTTAAAACAGCTTACATTAGGTAACCTGCAGAGTGGCATATAACGTTAGGAAAAAATGAAAGATTGGAAATTTCAGTGAAATATTTCATGAAATTTCACGAGGCTGTGANTTTGTATTCGGTGTAGGTTCGATCCCCGACTCATGAATTCTTAATTATTACCTGACTATCATTGTTCATTGTTTTACTGCAATATTTCATCAAGCAGTCATTCCAAAACGCGTCCTTTTAATTTTACAGTAATTTTAAGTAAAGTTTAAAATTAAAGTATACCTCATATCGTAATTGTTTAGGGGAAAAATAAAAGTAACACTGATAGGAGGGTAAAAATAGGGCCGCGAAGCGGCCCATTGATGGCGCGGAGCGCCTTCAGGGGGTTGGGCCGCGTAGCGGCCAGGGGGCNATTTCATATTTTTCAGGGGCTAGAGTATGCAACTCGCACTCAAACGCACAAAAATAGAAGGAAGTCACAATTTCTACATTTTGCGAAGCATGAAAAAGAACCTGTGTTTTTCAGTATCTTTCATAAATTTCTGAAATTTCATGGCATATTTCTCGTGAAATTTCAAGATTTTATTTTTCATGAAATTTTGCCACCCTGAACCTGCGTTGTAGCGAACGTCTCAAGATGTTCATCAAACTGGAATTAGTGATTCTTCTGCTAATCGTACCTTATAATACGTTCAAAATTTATAAAATACTAAAGATTCAGTTTGAGTATATCTAACAAAGACGGGCAAGATGCTTTGTATTCAAACATAACAATATGACTAACTCACAAGATAAAATAAAAAATATTATGTTGCAGTATTTCAGTAGAAAATTAGACCGAGATAAATGCCTCCAATGCATAAATAAAACCAGGGCAAACGAACATGAAGTGTGCGGATGCGACGCGACATTGGTATTAGCGCCTGGATTCAACTATGCGCAGTCGATGGATGTCCGTGTTGCCTATCCAAAATACCGAAGGCGCTTTAGTTTTTCCTCAGCTCTAAGCAGTAACACGCTTAAGTAGTACTAAGATCTCTCGAGCTAGATCGATTCACGGGCTCTGTAATTTTTCTTTTCCTGAACTGAGCTACTTTGAACGAATGCAAGGTAAAAGAGGTCTAAGCCCCCACATGATTGATTAGAGGATCGTTTTTTGTTAAGTTGGGCCAAAAAATTGGATTTTCATAGAGATCTCTTCTAATCATCTTAAAAATTAAAAATCGAGCAAATTGGAGCGGTCTCGCTGAATTCTTGTGTGGATTCGGGTGGGTTTTACAAGGGATTTAGCCGAGATATCAATTATTCTCCCACAACCGGCACCTCTGGCCCACAGTGCGGTGCCCGTTTGTTGACTCGGACAATAGGCGGCCAAGGCATGCCGCGCAGTGGCGAATGTCAGGGCACGCTTCACCATCCATGTTATTGCTGTCGCTTTGGCTCTTTGCTGTTATTACGGTCGCGGGCATAGATGCCAGGCCTGTCTACAAAAGCACTCATAGTTGAAATCATTGCGGAATCCATCAAGATGAATCACCATAATCGAGGGGCTTGGAGGACAAGGCGCTTAAGTGCAATATTTGTCATTCCGAGAAATACGTGTCAGAAGTTTCGAGATTCCGTATAGGTCTTTATGGCCGAAAGAAAGTTCAAACTCACTTTTTGATGTTTAGAAATTGAAATTTGGGAGCGATTTTTTCGCAGAATATGTATTGAAACTACTTTTACCGAAAATCATTAAAATCTAGATTTTTTCAAAAACTGCACTTACACGCCCCCAAGTCCTCCAAGCCCCTCGATTTTAGTTGTGCTTTAAAGTACTTCGCTCTGAGCCCTGGCGTGGTGGAGCTGGAATGGATTACATTGCGTCAGTTGAGTAAAAAATCTCGGCATATTTTGACTTTTTAGCGCATCGCAGAAAAAAAGCCCCTGTTGATGAGCCTATCGAGTCATTCACGACCAAAAAAATTGCGAAATTCAGAGAAATGGAATTTGGATTCTTCTTGAGGAAATTTTTTGCATTTGATACAATGGTCGATAACTATTAACTGTATCCAATGCAAACAAGTTTTTTCGTACCCAAATTCGGCCTTAAATTTCTCCGAATTTGGTTAGATTCTTTATATTAAACTTCATAAGCTGGGGTTATCATTTTTTTTTTTTTTTTTGCTGAGAAGTGCGATCTGCAAAGATTTGTGACCAACGTGGTGCGATATTGATGCAACCCTAAAGTTCAAACCGGTCAAGAGCCCGGGAAGAATTAAGGCCTATACACACGGGTGAAAGACGAAAGCCAATAGAGAGCTTTGATTTTGATATATCGACGTCAAGGGATCGAAACACATGGCCTAGATACACACGGCGATTAGCTTTAAACAGCTCCCTTTCCTACTCAAGCTATGTGCGATTTACATGGTGATTTTGGGAAATCCTCAACACAGCTCCCCAAGAAAGTCAATTTTTACCAGTTGCCAGCCAAATTCAAAAGCAGTGATCCGACACAGGTCCTTGCAAAAGATGCAATGATTTACGAGAGCAAAAAGTGTAAAACAACGGAGAAGAATATTTTCCAGGTTCTGGAAATATTATGTTAGGTCTGTGCCTTCGGTCGGGTTGAGAAAAATTCAATCCCGGGGTTTAGGAGAAATTTTTCGAACTCCATCGACTTTTAATTTTAATAGGGAAATCAAAAAACTGTTAATATTAAAAACAGGACATTAGGAATCAATGGATATCTTCCTTTTTTGGGCTCTAACTTATTCGCAGAAGTATGAAACTAAAACCGATGAATTTTCGGACTTTCATACGTGTCTATACCCTCAAAATAAAGGTACTAGAACAGTGTTCGAAACTTACCTTTGAGTTTTAGAAGCCATGTGGCGCATCACGCCCGATTTTTAGGCGCCATTGAGGATTTTTTAGGGGCCAAATGGACTTTTTGCTTACATATTACGGCGCATTAGTGAAAAGTTAGACGCAAGATGTTTCCGTAACAGAATTAGTAAGTAGCTGTAACTTGGGAGGACAAAAGCACTAAGAATGAAAAGCTTTCACTTGTAGTGCTGAAAATTCTGAGTTTTTTCAATTTAAATAGATTTGTTTTTCTTTCTTTACGTGACTTCCTGTGAAAATCCAGATTTTTAGGGGGCAATTTTTAGGGGCCACGTTGTCGCAGAGTCTTCATTTTTTAGGCGCCATGGCCGATTTTTTAGGCGCATTTGGCGCGTTGGCGCCTGTGAGTTTCGAACACCGTACTAGAATAACCACCACCTCATATTGACTCATGACTGTGTTTGTGTCTTTATCTAACAACGTGGCAAATGTTCCCGGACTCATTCATTACGCTCTATTTTTTCCAGATCCCGTCCAGTTTGGATTCCGCGAAGTGAGGCGACAGGCCCGGATAGGCAACCCGCCATGCTCGCATGCACCTCCAGATTGCATTGGCCCAGCCCGCCGGCACTTGCAGATGTGCCATCACAGCTGTGTGGCCCTGTTATCACCAACTCCCGCGTCCGGCGAGTGTGTTAGTTCGGGATTCGTGTTATCAATCGTGTACTGCGCGGGGCCGCTCGAATAACGTAATGATCACCGATCTCCTTTTACGATCGGGACGTGTTTTCATGAAATAAATTGTGTTATTGTTCCCATTCCGAGTACGTGTGATTGTTGTAAATGATAATTCCTGCAGAGGTTTGATACTTTTATGTGTAATTAAAGTTTTAATCTCATCTTTTACTTAATTTATTTTTTACAAACAAACAACAATGTGATGCCCCATCAAGCTCTTTTTGATTGGATGATCCGCAAATTCATCATGCCGCGAAGGTTTTGTGCGACCAAAAAACCGGCTTAGAACTCGGCTCAACTCTTTCGATCGGTGCCCAAATCGCCACGTCCAAAAACCATTCGTTTACAAAAAAGTATTCATGCAATACAAGTTTAAAACTTCATTTACTTCAACCATCATGGTGCTTCAAACTAAAAATTTCATTATGATTGTATAGGCAAGCGAATTATTAAAAAAAAAAAAAAAATTCAAAACAAACGCAGAGTTTACCAAGAACATAAATTAGGAACATTTCACTGAAATCACACCTAGGCCCGATAAATCTCCGCACAAAACTTAGAAAATATCATCGGAAATTACCGAACAATGCGTTTGACACCGTGTGTAATCCTCCAAAAATCAGAACCCAAAATCGGAATTAATTATGTGACCGACTTCCAGTGATCATGTCGAGAAAACTCACGTCGCTCCTTATACTAGGCAACCTGTAAGCAGCGGTGTATCGTAGTTTGCCTACCCATGCGGCGAGTAGCTTCGTAACCGTGCGACGATGTTCAAGTCGGTGCGTCACGGGGAGAACGTGCTGCAGTACACGATCCTGCCGCAGGACGAAGAGGGCGCCATCTCCGGGGGTGCCCCGGGGGCGCGAGGGAGGGGGCCCGGGGGCGCCCGACGACGGAGCTCGGAGCGGCGGGCGCGGCGCAAGAGCGTCTCCACGTGGATCATCGTCGCCATCTTGGTCTGCATCGCCGTGACTGGTGCGGTCGTCGTGCCGGTCCTCCTCTCGGTTGGCCCCGGTGGCGCGCACCCCTCCAAGAAGTTCCAAACCTTCGCTCTCGCCGCCTCCAGCCTTAAGGAACATGCTGGTGAGTATGCATGTAGATCAGTACTGCAATTCGTCGCTCCTCCGACGAAGGGCGTGTCTCGGTTTCCGCATGAGCTCCAGGAAGCATTGATTTACAAGTATGACAGGGCTCACGCGGAATCGAGGTACGCCCTTACGTCAGAAGAGTGGCGAAAGCTCTTGGGAAAAAAATCAAAGACGATTGCGAGTTAAGGTGATTCGATGGACGTCATATTTTGTGTCTGAACGGCATGCGATATATCGCATCCATTGGTTCCATTTTTTCAGCTACTCGTCATTTTTCTTCAATTTTGAGATCGCAATTCTGTTGTCAGGAGTCTAAAGCACTCACTTAACAATTTTAACAAAGGAATTCAACGTCATAAAGGCGTGGTTTTTTTAGAGAGAAAATATCGCATTCTTGTGCAGATTCGATATCAGTATCAAATGCGATGTTTTCTCTCTAAAAAAACCACGCCTTTATTACATTGAATTTCTTTGTAAAAATCGGTAAGTGAGCGCTTTAGTCTCCTGACAACAGAATTGCGATCTCAAAATTCGAGAAAAATTATTAGTAGCTGAAAAATAGAGCCAATCGATGCGATGTATTGCACGTCGTTCTGACACAAAATATGGCGTCCATCGAATCACCTTAAAAAAACCTTTCTGCATAGGGAAACCAATAGCATATATGCTGTTCCTAAAATGAGCCAGAAATACTGGTTCCTTATTTCAAAATGTGGTCCAATTGATAATGTCTGGATGTTAAGACATAGTCTATAGGATTACCAAGGCTTTAGGACACTGAATATCACAAATCGATGGCAAAGGTGGTTTGCAATTTTCACTCGGAAAGTACTTTCGGAGTTATTTCAGGGTGTTCCTTTGTCAAATTTTGTACAAAAATACCAAACGCACTTTAGTGTGATGTTATGCTCGGAAATTTTGAAGCAACTCCTAAAATTCAGAAATTATCGACTTTCGAATCGTTCTCCAAAGTACTATTCTATATCACACGATCAAACCGTGCTATCAATTTATCAAGGTCAGGTGTTGTGATTTGGCTTATTCAATGACTTGGACCAATCACAGCATATGACGTTGATTTATTGATAGCACCGTTTGTTCGTATGACAATAGCTATAAAAAATGACCACGAGGTTTTCTCCTGGTAAAATCAACGAATACACATGAATATATTAGCTAAGCGTTTATGCCAAGGCTTTTTCTTTAACTTCCGTGGAAGAAAAACAATTTTAGACATTTTTTTTTCTAAATATTCTACTTACCATTTTAAAAGCGTCTAAAGTCGCTCAAAGAGACATTAAGTGTTGAGCTATTATGGATTCGCTTAGGGCTCTGTAGCTGCAAATTACCTCATTTTTATTGCTACACTGAAAGTCTTTGTCAACCAAGCACCTAATAAAACGATAAAACTTAAGTCCAAGCATGAGCTGAAATTTGAAGGAAGGACGATTTTGTCATTCAAGAATTAGAGTGGAGAAAAGCTAATGGGGCCCTCATGCAAAGGTGACAATGTACCCATTTCCTCCGAGGCTGTGCCATGTAGCAGCTTAAACATCGCATCTGGAATGCGATTCTTGGAGCCGTTAACTCGCTCCACTTTTTATTGGTCGTAAGTTGAAAGCTATGCTCTTGGTAAATATGTATGAGACCGTTGAGAAACTGACACGATACGTTGCAACATTCATTCCCAAGATTTGCATTTTGCAACAAGGTTGTAAATAAAATAAAATGTCCCTCTCTCAAATTGAGATATTCAAGAAAAATATGTACAGAGAAAAATGTTACAGTAAAATTGCAATTATTTTTGATCGATGTTTTTTGCATCTATCAAAACTTCCATGAAAAACTATAATTGGGTGATGTTTAGCGTACGAGACGAATCCATGTTGGACCATCAGAAAAGAAATATTGACGTAATTTTGGCATCCTTGCCAGAATATCAGGGCAAAGCTGGAAAATGAGTCTTTTGAGTTTTTAACTTCCCATGGATGGGGGTCTGATTTGTACCTCTTTTTTTAAAAAAAATTAAGTGTTATAGAGTTTTGCATGTTCCCTTCCTCTAATCAAACATCTAATCTCACAGAGAAAAAAAGCACGTTACGCCGCATACTCAAATTCAGACTCGAAAACATGCTTTTTAAACTTGACAAACACAGTCCGAAGACTCAAAATCCTCGGCGAGTGACTTCATAGTAGCGAGGCATTAAGTTGCCAAAATCCCCTTTAAAACTACCCACTCCTAGGGGGAGTCGAATGCACTGTCCCGTGAGATGCACTTAAAGCTCGCACAATCCGTGAACAGTGCGGACGCAAACTAGAGCTGTCGAGCACGGTTAATAATTCTTCAAAGCCGCTGAGAAACCTCGACTGTAATAAAACTAAGCCGGCTCAGTTATTCGGCGCTTTATGTTTACCTCCATTGTACTTGGTTCGTCTTATACGAGAAAAGTTCCCTGATCTGGAAAGTTGGGAATCGAATCATGGAGGATTCGATAATACCGTGCGTCTTCGGGCTTGATTCTTTGTTTTCGAACGAAAGTGGAGTACTGTTTGCTCAGCCGTTTATAGGTAAGAGTTGTGCTCAACGCTCAAGTTCTGTCAGAATTGAGTGTGAAATTTCGTGCCGGAAATGCCGGTACCTCGATTTCTTGGATTTGTAGCAGGGAAATAGTCAAATCAGGCATTTTAGCAAGTGCCTAAGCACATGGTCAAATTTTGAATGTTTACCAAGTCTCGTATGTTTTCACAAAAACCTCTTGAATTTTCAATATTTTGAAAATATAAATTCATTACACAGCCAATTATCATTGTATTTTCCTTTCAATAATCCTCTTCATATATTTCAATGCGTTAAAATTGTGAAAACTATTTATTTTTAAAATGCTTCATTTTTCGAAATAAAATTCATTTCAGGAATAGAAATCATAACAGTAGACATGGAATGATGAAAATTTTTCAATAATAATTACCACCAATATAAAAATTATTATTTATTTTATATTATTTTAAAATTCTCGTACACGAAAGCTGGAATTATAGACAAAATACAGGTCGATAACGAATGAAAATATTACAATAACAACAAAACAACAAATTAGCATGAAGCATATTCTTTCAGCAGTAGCTCATCAATACTATAAAAAGCTTCTCGATATAGGAGCTGGTTGAGCTCAAACATGAATGATGCGGAACCTGTGTCCCTGAACGGAAGTTTTAGTCTTAGTGCAGCGAATTGAGAAATTGAGTTGATGCTTGGTGTTGCTTTTGGACACCTTTAATGAGATTTTGATGTTTTTGATGTTATAATGCCTAGAAATATAATTTTGGCTGGGAAGCAAATCAGATTATCTTGGCCAAAATTGGCAGAGGAATCGTCTGAGTAAAAATAGTTGACTATTTGCCTAGGCAGTTAACAAGATGACTGATAAGACTAATTGTCTACGACGTATACTGACGTAGGTACCTGAGACGTCAAGATTAAGAATGATAAAACATTGCGATGAAAAGAGCTTTTAAACCAAGGAGGATTCGCACACTATAGACTGCGGAGCTGTAAAATTGATCTGTGGGAACTTTGCGAAGCGCCTTCAATTTCGCTCGATACCCTAAGCACCACCGCAGAGTTAGTTTAGTTGCGTGACCCAACCAAACCTAACCTGGCTTGATACTCCTCACCGCCGCGCCCCGCGCCGGCTGTTGGAGCCGTGGGAAGGGAGGACAATCAAACTGGAAAACTGCTGGTAGGTTTTTTTTTACACAGCATAGACTCATCTATATTTGAAATTAAAATGGCACTGACTCATACGCCTAAAAAAGGATATAATTTATCTCTCGTCAAAATACATTACCCAATGGTGGTCCTTGCAAATCCTTTAGAATTAATCTTGAAAAAAGCACGAAAAAAGAAGATAGGTTGTGTCTTAGCTCACAACTTTAATTTCACCCAGTTTCACCCTAAAATGGCACTCAGTTAATTGTTTGAAAATTTCAACTTTGGAAAGATAATTATAACTGAAACAAGTAGGAGTCTCCAATTTTTGACTTATTGCTATTACGAGGAAATACTACTGCCCTCCTCTATACGGAATCCTCCCCCTCCCCCCCCCATTAAAACGATGGAATTACTATTTTTGACAATTTTTAATTACTTAAGACCGGTTTTTCTTCTGTACAGGGCGGTACAATATCCACGGCACACAGTTCATAGTGGTACCGGTCGAGCAGGTGGAAGGCCCCCAGGGACTTTTGGAAGAATTGGACAGTCAGTTGTCGCACGAAGAGCATCATCAAGCTGCCGTGGCCCCAGCGACGCCTGCAACACAGCCTCCCGCAACCCGCACGACAAGACTCAACGCCACCCATCCCTCTTCCTCCTCTCCAACCCCCGCCCCGGTGGATCCGGGTGGACATTGACCACAGAGGGAGGCTCTACCTTCTGAAGAGTGGAATCGGCACTGATGTGTGGGAGGTGGACTGATGAGCTGGCAAGGATAAATTCAAGGTAAGGCTGGAAAATCACGTTCTCTTTTTGTTGAGGAAGTTTTACGCAGAGACAATGTATTTTAGCAACCGCGCGCCCGTATCTTTCTTAAAGTGTGCGTACAAGTTACTTTTGTTTTTAGTTCCGTGCATCATACCACTTCTATGAATTGAGGCCTCTCATATCCAAACGTACAATCTCCGTTCCCGGGCCAAATTGAGTTAGGAATGGATTCTGCCCCAGTTTTAAGAGGGGAATCCGAATCTGGATTTATTTCGGTGCAAAAAGAACTATATCCTTGATTAAATAGGGGGTAAAATCTGGCTTTTGCAGCAAAATGATAATGAAATGATAAACCGGCTTCCCGCCGGTTTTACGGCTTTCCTGTAAAATTTGAAAAAATGGAGATTGTACGTTTTGATATGAGAGGCCTCAATTGTGGATATTATAGCCATTATAGAATTTTATCGCACATGTAAAAATCACCAACACTGTCGAAAAAACTCGTGCGTCGAGCCGCAATCTAGCATTGCAGAATGTCTTATTATCAATCATAAAAACTTGAGTTCGTAAAATTGCAGTCTTAAGATTATCGTTATATACTTTTGAGGCAAACTTTATAGAAAGAGGAAGGCACTTAACTCGAATAGATGACTATTTCCTCACGGAGGATATTTTCTCATCTAGAGTTATTGAAAGCTGCGACAGCAACGCTCGTAACCTTTACACCCTTTGATTTCAATCCTGCTTCTTTCACGTTTTCAGTTAGACAACACCTCTCGTTAATTCACGCACAATTTTAAGCAACTCACTAATTGTAAGGATTTTAATTAACGTAATCAGTCCAACTATATCGGACGTTGCCTAATTCCTTCTGATGTTTTATTTTTGAAACAGAAAACTAAGCAACACAAACATGTTTGTAAACATTAACGTACTTGCTCGCATAAAATTCGTATGCTTCGTTCGTTTTTCGTAAATTTCGCATTGCTATTCGTAAAAATAAAGGGACTTCGGGTCCTTAAATCCCATCATCAGCTGCGACCTTTATGATGGGACCTAAGGTCTCAAAACGCGTTCTTTTATTCTTACAAATATTTACGCAAGCAAGTACGTTAGTATTTATCAAAATGTTTGTGTTTTTAAACATTAAAAAATTCCGCAGCACCCTAACGGTGATTCGTAGCAATAAAACTTGGACTTTTGTGAGTTATTCCTCATAATCTAGACTAAATTCACGAAAAGCTGGGGGCGTTAATGGTTTTTTTCTGTCGAAAAATAGAACACAAGAGAACTTTATTCAACGTAAGATACAGTTACGCTAATATCGGTTGAATCCGTTAAATTAGTATTTTATTGAAAAGCGTATCGGTTCTGGAAGCCCCTAATCAAATGGCGTATTTTATAGTTCAACCGCTGATAAAAGATGTATAAAGTTCGTGTAAACAGAGCAAGTTCGTGAGACACACGCTTTAGGAATAATACGCCCTACAAATATTTAAATCAAAAGGAAGTAACTCCATCATCACATGGGCTAAGTAATACTTGTAGTGTAATGGGTTGTAGGGCTCAAGGTCCTCATGTGGATAGTTCATTTCGATTTAAATACGTCCAATAAATACCCCGTCACGCCAGACTCAATCAGCCTCACTCCTGGCTTCTCCTCGACAAGCAGTTAAAACGAACGACACCGGCTTAAAATTTCAGGGCACTTTCAATGTCCGGCCCGGAAACCAATCGCATCTGCGGCTTTGTCTACGAACCCGCGTCACTATTTCCGAGCTACACGTGTCAAAAAAGCCCTACATCCAACAGACCACGTTAAAACATGCAAATGGTTAAATAACGCGGGAAAGTTGATCAAACGGGATGCTAAGCCACCCCTGGCCCCGGAAAGCTCAACTGGTCTTAGCGCCGCCACCACTGCCGCCCCCAAGTGACTGTCACCCGTCCGAACTACCGCCCCCACGCCACCTTGAGGCCAAATTTGACGCAACGTGCATTGGATGTGGGTAAATTATGGCGGAATTTCGGCCCCGAGTTGGGGGCGCTGGATGGAGCGTCCCCCGTTTTTAATCACTCCCCCGGCGCGTTTATTTATGTGTTTTCTATACGTGCCGTAAAAACACTGCTGCCGAATTGCCTTCATAAATACGACGAGATACTCGTGCCCGTTACCCACTGTTACTGATTTGGACAAAATTTTGCAATTAGGAACTACGGTTTCTGCCTCAGTTTAGAAATAACGTATGTGCCGTTTGTTTTCCTCTGCACGTAAGTGTTTTTACCGTTGAGCCAGAAAGTATGGTTCCGAATTTGAAAATGTAGACCGTTTGTGACCGTCCACGAAAAATGCACCTCAGTCTACGAAAACTCAAAATAAAGGTATTGATGCTTGAGCGGAGATGAGTTTTTAACAAAATGTTCGGCGTAAACATGCAGAAACGGACCAACTCGCACGAAAGTAGTGGAAATTTTAATTCCAGGTTTCAGAAAATGTGGTTTTAAGAAACAGCTTTCTAAAATCTTAATTATTATGTTCAAAGAACGAATCTTCTTCATACTTCCAGAGATAGCGTGTATACGGAACATTGAGACCTCCAATTCTAATGAAATTCTATTTATTTATTCCACATACTCCGACCTATCAACTTTGGAACATCGTAAGAGAGGTACCATTGCTAGTTTTACGGTGCTCACGTTGGAAATATACAAAAATACTTGAACTGACATTTTTACGATGCATTCAGCACAATGTTAGTGTAAACTATCCTCGACATCGCGAACGCACCACCGTTTTTCTCCGCAGAAACAATGAAAAAACAAGCATAATGGCTAATTTAAATTAAATTTAGCAACTATGTTTAATGCTTGCTCGGCCATGTTTGTAAAAGATTTGTCCGTTGATTGGAAAAGCTTTCACGTTAGCTTAGGCTTCAAGTTTCAAGCTGTAATCGAAGGAGGCTTCTTCACAGAAGGGAAACATGTCCTAATAACGAAAATTCGCGCATCATCGTGCTGATTTCAAAAGTAGAGAAATATTAATTGCTAAGTTCGTTCCTTTCTGAGAAAATTGTCGAAATCAAAAATTTGCTGAAACATTTGTAAAACACTCGTCAAAGCAGTAGGGGCCGTATTTTAATTCTTCAATTTTTTGGTGCTAAGGTCCTCATTCCTGGGAAGGTCACATCTAGATTACCTATTTCGGGAGAGTATTGCCATATTTATGCCGCTACCCGCTTGGTTCTTCAGTGTTCGGCCTCTTAAAGTCCATTAAAAACAAACTTGACCCAGAGAAATCGGTATTTCCAAGACGAAAAATGAGTGATAACGGTAGAGAAAGTGTAATTCGTGGCAGACCTACCTACCGAAGTTTGTTTCGAACCCATCTCAAAAATTGGAAATTGAAAAGTCATCATCAGGTCTAGAGCTCTGTCGTGGAATTGTTTGCTCATATTGGGAACTAAGGACTTTATGTAGCCCACTAAGGGACCTATTAGCAAGTGGCACAGGGTAGAAATGGCAATATACTCTCCCCATATGGATATTAATTGGTTCAGTTCAAAAAATTAGGCCATTTCTGATTCAAAATGTTCGTTGAACACTTGTGTACGCAATATTACCAATGATTCAATTTTGAGCAGTTTGAGCTACGAAATTCATCCCTATGAGCTTCATTCATATCTATGGGCCCATTCCTAAATTACGTCACGCTCTAGGGAGGGAGGGGGTTGAGGAGAACGTTGCGCCATTTTGTTTTTACGTGTTGAAGGATTTGGACCTACGTCAAAAAAGCGTTACGGGGGGGGGGGTCAAAAATGCCGAAAAAGTGCGTTACGTAATATAGGGACGGGTCTTATGTATAAAAGTCCCATTTCTTTTTCGATCGCTGAGGGTAACGCAGGCGTTATTTGATCGGCGAGCAGATTATAACGCGAAGCCGAACGTTGAGTCAGGTCGGAATTCAAGTCGTACCTCGTAGCGCGCAATATTTCAGCGCATTGTGTGAATCATGTTGACGCACGGTCGCTAACGATGTGAGACGGTGATGGAGAGGGGCTTAACCTCCGGCAGAACACCGAGGTTGCCTACTCGCGAATTGAAGGCGTCCCACGACAACCCCCCCTTAGCGGCGAATTGCTCGGAACTGCAATGCCGGGGAACGTGCTTCAATGGCCCAGACGTGAGGCCACGTGAGTGCAACATGCATCATTGGGTACCCCCTCCCCTTATGTACGCCGAATGTGGGTTGCCGGTTGGATACCCCACGGAGATTCATTCAGATGGAATGATGTCAAGTGTTGAGCAAATAATCGGCTTTTGATTGATATTGAAAAATTCGTCGTTTCCAGGACGAATTGACGTGACTCCATTCCAAAGTTGAACGTACTCGTATTTGTGCCAAAAGGAACTATGTTCACAAGGTTTAATGCAACATAGTTCCTCTTTGCACAAATACGTGCAGTTGTAAAAGCGAATCGAAGGAATCAATTTTTTATGATGATGTGACTGCAGTTTCTGTCCAAAATTCTGCTGATGAATTCAGAGTAATCCGAAGAAAAAGAGATACAATTTTCAGTAAGAAATGCTCAAAACTGTTTATTTGTTAAAATATAAAATGGCCGAGGGAAATTTTAATTTTGGAAGGTGGTTCGGTTCCTTTGAATTGAAAACGAAGCAAGGGCTTCCTCCTTGGTCGCTATGCAGCTCGATTTCAATTTGTTTTTTCCTACTCCAAATGGCCCACAAGGGCTAATCCCTGCGCTATAGTACCGTCCTCCCTCCGTCCCTACAACCAGTCCCAGGCAACCATTATTTGAGACCATCAAACTCGGGTCGCCTGGCCGGGAATCGAACTCGGGACCTCCCGATCCTAGAGCCAGCTCTACAACCACTACACCAGATAGGAGACCGACAAAAATAGCGATCCGCACTTTTACACTGTCACTTATGGGATAAAAACCCACATCATAATTAGAAGATTTGAATACAGTGGGCTCGTTTAGACACGATTCGTTTCA